TTCCCTTTTTAACTCAAACCTCCCCTAAGGCAGCTTTGAGGAGTTTCCTCCTGTCCTGCCTTTGGGATGAGGCAGGACGAGCTCCCCTCTGGGACATGGAATTGTCACATGTGGAACCTCTGGAATTGTCACATTTGGAACCTCTGGAATTGTCACATTTGGAACCTCTGGAATTGTCATATTTGGAAGCTCTGAGCCAGCCCTGGGGCACAGGGAGGGCAGGGAAAAGGGAAAGGGGAAAAATCCAGGGGATTTTTGTCCCTGCGAGTTTGAGCTCCTGCCCTTTGGGCTCGAAATAAATGGGAAATGTAAAAATGGATATCCCAGTAAAAACCAGGACGGGAACGTCAGGGCCTGGGGAAGCCACGGGAATGTTGGTCCTGCCCCAGAGGAGGAAAAATTCACTTTTCTGGGCAGCCCAGAGGGTCCCTGAGCCTGGCAGGGCTGCAGCCAAACCCAGCAGGGGATGTGGGAGAAATTCCCTCGAAGGATGGGGCAGCACAGCCCAAACTGGCCGGGAAAAAAAAAAAAACGGGAAAAAACTGGGAAAAAATTGGGAAAAGGCCAGGAAAAGGGTGGGAATGGGGCCATTCCCTCTGCAGGGACACAAAGGCAGCAGGGATGTGGCTTCAGGGAGGGGCACAGGGACAGCTTTGAGGTCACAGCGCTGCCCAGCTTAGGAGGATGCTCAGGATAATCCTAAAAATTCCTAAAAAATTCCCTTTCCAGCCCCTCCCAACGCCATGGACATGCAGGTGATGGCTCTGCAGCCCCTCCCCATGCACAGGCACAGCTCAGCCCTGAGGGATGTGGGATATGGGATGTGGGATGTGGGATATAGGATGTGGGATGTGGGATGTGGGATATGGGATCCCTCCAAACCCCCCCTTCCCACAGCAGGGAATTCTCCTGCGTGGAGCTGGGAATTTTCCACGCTGTCCAGGGGTTTGGATTTCTCCCCAGCCCCCTGCCCTGAGCCTTTTCCTGACCCCTCATCCCCACTGGAAATGTTTTGAGGGGGTTCCCGCTGCCACATCCACGCTGGAAAAATTCCAGGCAGGATCAGCACCCTTGAATTTCCATCTCCGGTAGAAATTCACACTTCTGGAGCAGGAAACCACAGGAATTTTCCTTCCCTGTGCTGATCCCTGTTAAAAATCATGCTTCAAAATTAAATTGAGGCATGGCTGGAGGGGACAACAGCTGGGTGTGGCAGGGCTGGGACACAACATCTGGATGTGACACAGGTAAGAGTTTTCCATAAAAAAAAAAAAAAAAATTAAAAAAACAACCCGAGGGGGCCCCAAATTCCTCCCCCCAGCTCGTGGCCCGGGGTTTGGGGTGACGATGGGGGCGTGGTGAGGGTGGCAGGGCGGTACTTACGCCGGGATCTCATTGCTCAGGTGGCTTGGAAACAGAGAAACAGCGACACTGAGAGGGGACAGACGGACAGACAGAGAGGGGACAGACACACAGAGAGACAGAGAGGGGACACACAGACACACGGACACCCCACCCCTGGAAGGGCTGGAAAACCGGGAATGGGAGAAGGGAGATGGGCACAGGATCCCACCCCGGAGCCCTGGAGGTGGGAATGGACCCCGGAGCAAAACACAGAGGGCCAGGAATGTCCTGAAGGGGAAATTTCCAGCCTGGAGGAGCTCAGGGAGAGTTCTGCTCATTCCCAAAAAGAATTCCCAAGGAGAAATTTCCAGCCTGGAGGAGCTCAGGAGCAGATCTGCTCATTCCCAAAAAAAGAATTCCCAAGGAGAAATTTCCAGTCTGGAGGAGTTCAGAGAGAGCTCTGCTCATTCCCAAAAAGAATTCCCAAGGAGAAATTTCCAATCTGGAGGAGTTCAGGAAGAGCTCTGCTCATTCCCAGAAAAGAATTCCCAAGGAGAAATTTCCAGAAACTTCCCCCCAAAAATCGGGAACATCCAGCCCCAGTTTGGAAGGAAGAATTGGGAATATCCAGCCCCAGTTTGGAAGGAAGAATTGGGAATATCCAGCCCTGGATTGGAGGGAAGGACCAGGAACAATTTGGAGCTCCTGGATCCCGTTTTTCCCTCCCCAAACCAGCCCAAATCCCGGTTTTGGGGCCTGGCTGAGCCCTGGTACCTCTTGGTGACGCCGTTGTGATACTCCAGGTACGTGTGGCCATCGAAGGCCACGGCCTCAGCATCCCCTGCTGCCTTCTCGATGATCACTGAGGGGCAAAAACAGGGAAAAATGGGAAAAGGAGCCCTGGGGAAAAGCCAGGGAATTCCTGGGAGATGGGAAATCCCCACTCAGCACCCCTGGGTGCCCATGGAAATGCCAGCCCTGCAGAGCTCTGAGGGCTGCAGAGCCTGGGATTTTTGGGGATTTTTTTGGGATTTTTTGGGATTGAAGGTCCCTTCCAACCCAAAGCATTCCATGATTCCCCAGCTCAGCTCTCCCAGGGTTTTCCTCTCAAGGAATGTCCTGATCTGTGCTGCTTTTCATCATAACCCTGCCCGATGGGCTGGACTGCACCAGGAAACTTCCCAGGCTTCCCATCCAGCCCCTCATGGCCACCTCCAACCCCCTGGGCCACCATCAGCCCCCCATGGCCACCTCCAACCCCCTGGGCCACCATCAGCCCCCCTTGGCCACCTCCACCTTCCCTGTGCTATCCCAAACCCTCTGTGCCATCCCAAACCCTCCATGGCCACCTCCACCTTCCCTGAGCCACCCCAAATCCCCCATGGCCATCCCAAATCTCCCATGGCCATCCCAAATCCCCCATGGCCATCCCAAATCCCCCTGGGCCACCTCCAACCCCTTCTGGGCCACCTCCACCTTCACTGAGCCACTCCAAATCCCCATGCCCACCCCACTCCCCTGTGCCCATCCAAAATCCCCCATGCCATTCCAACCCCCCATGCCACCCCAAACCCTCCCTGGCCACCTCCACCTTCCCTGAGCCACCCCAAATTGCCACCCCAAATCCCCCATGGCCATCCCAAATCTCCCATGGCCA